TTGCTCCAGCGGAGCTACCAATGGTTCTCACAAGCACCTCCTTAAAAGTGTAACTACACATCAGGACAACAGAGATACCACGTGGGTGCTCGCTGTGATTGGTCAGCTTTGGCTTCTTTGTTCAGGATGTCTCTGATGCTGGCAGAGAATACTGACAGTGAAGAGAAAGAGATGAAAGCTGAAAAAAATGACCAAAAGCGCTAGCAGAGTAAACCCTCTCTTCACCGTGACCATGACTGCCTCTATCACCGGGAGCAAGAAATACTGTAACCACCATAAGTTTGGGTCTATAATGAATGCATTCCACAGTTTGATAGCATCCAGCGCATCCATCATGTGTTACTGTGGTGCGATGACAATCAGTGGGTTAAATCCTATGCTGAACTATAAATCAATTCCTACGCCACACTCATTTACGGCGCGACTGGCGGAACACCTCGACCACGAGACATAAATCCGGCTTAAGCCCTCTTTCCCCTCTGCTGTCTTATTAGGGGCGCGATGTGATGCAGCCCTGGGCAGGTTGACTTTTAAGCAGCTAGAGAAAGGTCACTATAGCCTAGCACTAATAAAAAAAAACCCTTATATGAACTTACAGGGAGAGATCTACATACAGTAGCAAAGCTGTCATCTGTTGTAAGTTTGTACATGTTGTAATAGCACAGGGGAGGTTAATTGATGATGTCTGAGGACAAACAACTAAAGAAGAAAGTGCAGAGTCCTTTTCAAATGATGCCGAGTCGGCTAAATGGTTTGGCCCTGCACACCCCACCTGCGCTTGCCGCTGCGTGCAGCTGCTTTGCTGACATCCCCACTTTTGTTATTTAATTAAAATGGCTAGAATCATATTGTTTTATAAAAAGGTCCTGTTACGGCACATGTATTTTGTTGATACAAGCCACTATTAAATTAGGGAGAGCTGAATCACAGTGAATTGAATTATGATAATGCCTTTACCCTTCGGTTTTACACACAGAACTCGTAGTTCGTTTTACGGCTACATAATCACTTAACCTTTTATATGGCTTAGCCTGTATTTTCACAGTTGGTCGTGTGTATAAGTGTGTGTGTGTGTGTGTGTGTGTGTGTGTGTGTGCGCGCTCGTCTTGAACACACATGGTTAACACACATACTGTTCATGCTAATTGGACGGAGAGCAAGAGAAAAAAAAAAAAAAAAGCACTAATCCTTCCAAATGATTGGAGCCATGTTGTCAAGGGCAAGATCCGTCTGTTTGACACCGGAACAGAGAGAGCGACAGAGAGAGAGAGAGAGAGAGTGGAGCATGAAGAGAAAATGAATGAGACCGAGAGAGCTGGAGATATAAAGAGAGAAGAAAGGTGGAATGAGAGTGCAGGAGGAAAAACAAAATGCACAGTATGAGAGGAGTCAAAAGAATCACACAGGGTGCCAACAGTGAATTGAGAAAGAAAGCGAGAGAGCGGAGAGGACGAGACGCAGAACAAAGACGAGCGAGTAAGCGAGGCCGAAGTTTGTCTTGGCAGGCAAGTCGCTCTCATTGAGATTCATTGTTGGTTTTTACTGGACAATTCCAGCCACTTTAAAAACCTGAAACACATGCCTGAGTCTGCACCAGCAGCAGAACATTACTACAACATCAACAACAACAACAACAACAACAACAACAACAACAACAACAACAACAACAACAACAACAACACCGCCTGGAGGTTGGCATTCAATAAGAACCAAGAGGCAGGGGAGGGAATGGACGAGAAGACAGAGCAGGAGCCAAAGTGGGAGACAGATTATAAGAGAGAAAAAGACAGAAAGAAACATGTTGCCTCAGGAGACAATCGCGTCTGATTATGTGATCATAAGACGGCCTGTTTCCTGACTAAAGCCACCTCTACCCATTCTCTTCCTTCGCCTCCTCTTCTTTTACTTTGTGGGGTTCCTTGAAACCTGCTAAGTACCATAGAGGGAGGCAGGCTTTCACAGCCCCTAGCCAGCACTACTAAATATAGCTGCAGTCACGGCAGGCCAAAACACAATCATTACTCTCTCAGACACGATGGAGGGGAGGAGAGGAGAGGAGAGGAGAGGAGACGAGACGAGAGGACATGAAGATAGGAGCAGCACAAAGAGAGGAAAAGTAAAAGGGAGAACATGGAGAAAGCAAGGGAGAGGAGGTAATGAGCAATGAAAAGGAAGTGTCGGAGGGAGACAAGAAAGGCACAGGGGTAGTTAGAAGAAATTATTGAGAGGAAGAGAAAAAAAGAAGATGCGGCAGATGGGTAAATGAAAAGAGGAGTCAAAGGGGGGGGGGCATAATAGCCAAATATGCAAGCTGCACCTCAAGCTTGTTAATGCAGAATATTGTTGGGTATCACATAACACAGCGAATGCAAACCATTTACCTGCCATAGAAATGTCCTCATATCAGCATGCTACCATCACATTTTAAAAGCCCTGGAAATACTTTCACTCTTTCTCTTTTCCTTTCTGTGTGATATTCAGTCAATACTCTAGTCGAGTATTGGGTACTTGATGGCATGTGGTTTTCCCTTCATGAATGTTACACAAGCACAAAGGACAAGAGTTTCCAAGAAGGTCATCGGGCTCTCATGTTTGAAGGAATGTAAGGATGATGTGGGTAGATGACCGGGAGTCTAGGAAACTTGTCTTGGCTGAAGTCTAGGATGGTTTACAGTGTCCATATATGGTGGCAACAAGAAGACAAATAAAGAAACAGCTGATGCTCTCTGATTCTGCTGATTCTGTGTGAATGAACCAGCCTCGTCATTAGACTTGCAAGAGACTGTTTGTGGTCATCCGACTCCTCCTTCAACTATCCCGTCCCTAAATTCCACAGTTACAGTTACAGTACCTGCTTGCGTAGCTCCTCAGCAGCTCTCCTCGGTGGCAGCCCGTTGGCTGAGCCTCGACCGCTGGCCATGGCCTGCTGCTCCCTCACGTGCTCCCGTGCCTCCGCCCGCTCACTGCGCTCCCTCAGGAGGGGCGGCGGTGGAGGTGGAGGAGGTGGCAGTGGCGGGGCAGGCGCATCCCTGCCGTGGGTTCCCGCCTTGGGCCTCGGACTCTCCCTGGTCCCTGCTTTGCCGTGACTGTTGAACACTGGAGGGGGAGGGAAACACAAGAATAAATTGTGTTGCTTTTGTGATTTTGAATTAATGGGGCGGGGGGGTTAAAGATGATACTAGTTGTGTAGAAAAACCTCTCTCAGTATATGAATCCAGCATGTATTCAGTGTGAACACCATGGAAAGACCTTGGGCGCCCTCTTAGCTTTGCTGCAAAGCTTTGCATGATTCACTGTTAAAATTCAGGAATGTATATAAACTTATACTTATTCATTACATTTTTACAAGTTATGCAACTTCTCATTAAAATCTTTATATTTACAACTGGTCAAAAATAAATAAATGAAAATAAGCCACTGTAAAGAAAATAAGACACTGTGGAAAGTTCCTATTAGGCACCAGGACATAAATACCCTTAAAAGGACATATACTATGCTTTTTCAGGCTACCGTCTACCTATGCCAATGCAGTCCTGTAGTGCAGAATGGCTTATACACTCCTGGCACCAAACCACAACCATCAAGTGGAAAAGCCCGCACAAACATTGGAGTGACAGGCTTTTGGCTAACATATAGCCCCCAATCAGTGAAATATGCATGATTTAAGGTGTGCATGAAAACGTCTTTATACTACATGTCAATGAACCTGTTCAAAATGGACGCAGACTACACCAGCCCCCGGGGATGATGCTAAACGAGTCGAACAGGAGCGGGGCAATTAACATACACATTTCAATAGCTCTCTCTTCAGCTTTTTACGAGGGTCAATCTGAAGTTTTCGTGGCATTTTAATATCAACAGGCAACAGGCTGTGTGGAAAGAATGACAGGAGGCAACGGCACAAACACACAGAGCATTTACAGTACACAGCATATACAGTATACTTTGAAAAGCAAGAAGTGTGTTAGACGATCTGCATATGTATTTTTGAGCATCAGTGAATGATTCTGTCTGCAAAAGTTTGGATGTGTGCGTTATTCATTCACGTGAATGGGAAAGTGGACCCACCACCAGAAGTAAGCGTCTGCGAGCCTCTGGGGCCCCTGCCTCAATAAAAAATGAGAGAAAACCTGACATTTTGAGAAGTGAGCTAAGCAAGAAACGGAGCCCAATAAAAGCTGTTTAATTTAGCTATGTCAACATGGCACATGGCCGAGAGAGAGAGAGAGAGAAGTGGAGAGAATGTGGAGCGCTGATGAATGGCCTACAATGTAGGGCCCTTCCCGTCTCTCTTTACCTCCCAGAATAAGATGTTTCTCTCTCCTTCACTAATTCTATTTCTCCTTTCCCTCAACTGTTCCCATTCCCACTCCCCTCTCCTCCCCCTCCCTAAGAGCCCATATAACCCGGCTCCTGCTGGAGAGAGCGGCCCAAGCTGCATATTAAAGTGTCACGTTTGACACCAATCTTAATACCGCAAAATGTACTAAGGTGTGTGTGTGTGTGTGTGTGTGCCTGATATCCAACACAGTATAAACACTGTCTCAACACTGAAGCAATGACCCAGTCTTGACTGTGTGTGCACACACCTACGTATGTACACAAACGTCCGTTCCTGTGTCCTTAACCCCCTCATCTCTTATTGTCCCCTACAAAGTATATCAGCTTATTTCCCTCTTATCTATTTATTTAGCATATCACGGTGAAGGCGCCAAGCTGCTTTGCAAACAGTGTTGGTATACGAGATAAGAAGGGAGAATAAGCTGTCCGCATGCACACAACAAGCCTGGATTTGTTCAAACAGGTTTCACTGTCCTACTGTTTGTCCTCCTTATACAGAAATGTGCAAATGTACAGTCTGTGTTTTGAGCTGCAGCTACAGATGTTCATGTGAGAATGAGAGACAAGTATATGCAACTCTGTGTGTGTGTGTGTTGGGGGGGGGGGGCAAGCACTCGCTGATGAACTTACACAAAGGCAGAGCACAGTTCTCTGAGAGTTCAATGCAAGCAAATCTATGGACCTCTCTCTGTCTTTCTCTCTTAATCCCGCCCGTTTCTCTCCTCCTCCACATTCCACTTGAGAGGATGACAGAGGAAAAAGCTGAGCAAAGCGTTCACCTTTTGAACCTTTCTGGCGGTGATTCTACTGACTGAGGAGGGAGAGAGGGAGTCAGGGAGGGCGGCAAGGAGGAACTGTGAAATCCAGCCCTTGTTTCACGGGGAAACGCCTGGCCGGAAGGATTGTGTGTCTCTAAAGTCTGCCGGGGAGGGAGGTTAAAATCGTTTCTCTAAAGCTCTGTAGAAAAACTGTGGATTCAATACTACAAGATGGATATCAGACACACATGATGTGCCACTGTAAATAAAAATGGGACACAGGAGAACTATTTTGGATTCTACTGAATAAACTTGTTTTATACGCAAATCTCCATCTTATCAATTTATATCATCAACTGAATAGACTGAATGATTTTCTGCCTGTGAAGTAAGATTATTTGTGTCATTTTGCTGTACAACAGGTAACATTTCTGAGGCGTGCTTGTTTTTATAGTCCTCGGTGTGCGACTCTGTTCTCATAGGCTCAGTTGCATGCATGCTATTTCCTAGATGTTGTGCACGAGTGTGTGTATGTGTATTCATCCGAATGTCTATGTGCCCCAAGGGGTGTACATATGCCGTCACTGCATTGTGTGTGTGTGTGTGTGTGTGTGGTGATGTGTGTGTGTGTGTGTGTGTGTGTGTGTGTGTGAGCGGAGGGCCCCGGCCAGCTGTTGCAGTGTGTGCATAAACACCTTGTTAGGGCTTAGCGAGCTAAGTGTTAATTGGGGTGGAAAGAGTCGATGAGCTGCCCTGCTATCCCATGTGACTTACCCCGTCTCCGCAGTGGAAAACAAGAGGGCAAACTTAAAATTGCTCTCTGTGTGTTTTTCTCTCTCTCTCTCTCTCTCTCTCTCTCTCACACACACACACACACACACACACACACACACGGAAAGGGACTACTACTCTGTCTTCTGTCTCACAGCTCATTCTATGTTCCCATTTAGCCCGAGTTTTTCTCCATCTTTCACTCTCTCCGAATCTGTTTCCACAGCGGATCTTTCCATTCCTCCTTGTTCTCCTGGTGCTTCATCCTTCATTCATCCTCTTCTTCTTTTCGCTCTCATATCCTTCTTCATCCATCCATCTATCTTTTCCTCCTTCTTCCCTCACTTTCATCCCCCAACTCTTGCACCTCCTCTCTTCTATTTTTCTCTTTCTCGCCAACTCCTCCATCCTTCTCCTCAGACAGTAAACTCTGGCAGTATGTCTGTGGTGCATTAGATCAACTGAAACCATTCCCTTGTCCAGTGTGTGAGGACAGGAGAAGTGTGTTAGTAATAAAAAAAATATGACATGCTTTGTTCCGAGCTCTGGTCCTGTTCCTTACCATGCCCATTGAGCGGCTGCCTGGCGGGGAGCTTGCCCTTGCGAGGTGTCGAATGGCAGGAGGAGGAGGCCGAGGCTTGGCTGCTGCTTCCCCCGCCGTGAGAGTGGATACCACCGCCGTTCCTCACCTCCTCCTCCTCCTCCTCGTCCTCCTCCTCCAGGTCCTCCTCCTCCTGGGAGCTTCCGAAGTAGGCCATGTTGCTGGGCAGGGCCGATGAACCTGAGTGCAGAGAGGAGGAAAGGAGGAAAGGAGGAGAAAGGGACACGTGGATGGAGATGAATAATGAAGCGGTAAGTTGGGGGAGGAGAAAGGAGGGAGGGAAATGAAAAGAAAAGGAAAAATTACAGGTGAACTCAATATGAGATATTATCCTATTTGAACACAATACACCTTTTTTGAGACCCCCAGTTGTGCATGTATGGGGGAAAAAAAATCTCTTTTTTCCATTCTAATGTCAGACATTACAGATGAATCAACATCAATATGTAAGTGGCGAAAAAATTATGTAGAAAATAGAAGTTGCTGAAGGGTTTGTGAATGATGGTGATTGAGCTGCTGTTTTTTTTTTTTTTATTTTTGGTTTTTTCTCATCTGTTATTATCCCAGCTGGTGGCCTATTGATGCTGTGTAAACTGCTCTGCACATTGCTGCGCCATTGTTGCACCCGCTCACACACTAAAAACGCATAAACATATACAATGGCACAATGTTTGAATGATTTGCAAAGCCATGGCAGTTTTACTTTACAACAAGCATTTTGCACTTTGCGTGAATCAGGCCAAACCTCCGTCAGCTCCTGAAATCTCACACTGATAAGCTGCATCTATGGAAATATCATTTATCACCTGACCTTGATCTTTGTTCCTGGTGTTTATCATCTTATCCATTATCCACATCCCTTATCCTGTTTTTGGTTTCTTGTTGCAATGTTTTGTAAATGTCGCTGCAAGACATTAGTGTTAGCGGTGCCGCTTCTAGCAAGATCACTGGTGCAGAGGGAGAGGGAGGTGATGACTTGTAACACATTCTGATAGCTACAACTGAAGCCAGAGCATTAGGAGCATATAACAAGTCATCTTCCCACAGAGACGCTCGATGTTGACAGTTTTATTGAGACGTATATACTGTACATGTGCTCAAATAGCTAACTCTGTAAAAGAGTTACTTTAGAAACCAAATAGTCGCTCTCTCTCTCTCTCTCTCTCTCACTGCTGAGCTAATCCCAAATCTGTCGCTTTCACTCTTCCAAAACAGGATTACTGTCAATCTCTCCCCCTATTGGAGAAGAAAACTGACGTTCTCTCTCTTTCCTCTTTCTGTCACACTCAATCACTTTCATTGTCATCTCTGAGAAATCTAACTCAATACATGCTGGAAGGAGGCAAATGGTGTTTGGCAGTGGATAGCCTATAATGTTACCTCAGCTAGCTGAATGTAGACACACACTCACACTCATAAAAGGTCATAAAGCCCAAAGCTATGTTATTAAATCTCATAATGTTGCACTCGTAAATCAGTGTGCAAACAGCTGCTCCAGTCATACAGATGCAGGACTAAAAAAAATAAAATAAAATATAAAGTAAAAAAATAAGGCAGCCTTGTGGTGAGCAGCAGTAGTGCCTGGCACCAAGTGTTTGGACAGAAATATAAAAATATATAGACATGGGCTGAGTTGTAAATCACTTTTACTGTATCATGTGCCAGTGTGCTTCCAGAAACATCACAAAAAAAAAATCATTAAAGCACTGTGCGGTCCATTGCCACTAATGAACTGTTCTGATAGCTTGTGAATTGACAACTAAGTGGAGCGTCCCATCTCTGATCGCAAGAAGAAAATCAGCAGGCTACGCACTCCATAAACTGTCTCGGTACGTAACAACATCTGTGTGTCCATTTCCTTTGACTTACTACTGATTGTGAGTTTTTATAGTATAAAATGAAAAATCAGCATTAAAGAATTCAGAAAAATACCTGAATGAATAAACTTGTAATTCCAAAGCATGGTACTGTCTTTGGCTGAAGGCTGGAATGAGTTTATGCATCAAACAACAGATTTCTCCCTTGTCTCTCACAGTGAACATGGACAGTATGAAGAAGGAGGAGGACACACATTCTGCTACCATGAGCCCTCCCTACTTACATGAAGTATGGGCACCACAAACTATTCTTTATTGTTAGCCATGTACTGCTGAAAGCTAAGTGAAGGGCTGTGTATATGAACGCAACTGCGTGTGACCTTGAGCAACTAACAAAAGGTCTGAACAGATCTACAATTCTACAATTAGGATTTGAAATTTTCTATGACTGTGTGTCTATGACTGTGAGTTGACAAAAACGTGCGGTTATGCAACACCCTCATAGCTTTGATTAAATCTGGTCTGTTTATGAGCAGGAAACACTGGATTTTATGAAGTTGTGAGTCCTTTATGACTAAATCAATAGCATGAAATGAGCAACTACTGTGGTTTTTATTACCCTTTTAGGGTGCACAGTGTTTAAAGGGCATTAATGGGAAGCAATGTGTGATTATATGTCAATTAAAATAATGCTAAGCTTCTAAAAAAAAAAAAAAAAAAACAGGCTGAATTCAGCTAGCCTGCATTAAGCTACACAGAGTACTTAAAATCACACAGAGCGAATTAGGAATTAGCCAGGGCAATTATTTAATTAGCGCACTTGTTATGGAGGGTGCTGAATACTTATCTTAGATTTTACACATTCAATACATTATTAAGTGGCCCTAATTAAAATGTAAAGATAACACAAGCATCGGGACACCAAAATAATTCAATTTTCTAATAGAATTATATGAGGGATACATCTTGTATATATTAGAACAAGCCAGAAATTAGCAGCAAAACTACACAAGTCAATCACGAGGTGTCTATTTGGACAACAGGATTTAGATTGAAGGGAATATGCTCTCTCATTAGGTCATCAGTCAAAATTATGCAACCGTGCACCGAAGCTGCTAAGGGCTGAGTAACTGTTTAGTAACCAGCCTTGTGTAATCAATATCTGCGTAAATGTGACACACACACACACACACACACACACACACACACACACACACACACACACACGCTCACCCAAACACATCTGCAACAAAGAGCTTGGCTTGGATACACTAAACATTTGTGTGTAAGTGTGTTTAAGATACACTCAGTACTTAAATGACACCCTGACTAAGCCTGGGCTTTCTAATGACAAAGGAGAAGACGTGGTGCAAGGCTTAGCTGCTGCTAACCTGCACCACACACACCGGAGTACTGTTGAATCCTGAAGCAGTCTCCTTTAGATAAGCCTACACTGCAGAATAAAAATAGTCTGTAAGACAACACAGTTGCACAAAAGCTAGAAATCCCAGTTCTTTCTGTACCAACAAACTGCTGTAAATCAACTTCCTAAATGATGTTGATGTGACAGATTATTTTCTCCCTCTGTGATGAGAACATAAGCATATTGAAATCATTATTCCAACATTCTTTTCTTTAACTACATCTTTGAACAGTGCACTAACAACAATTACTGGCCAGTCGGGGGACCTGTGGTTACCACATGTCACTCCACATTTATTTTGCAAGCTTAGTTTAAATATCATACTCATATCAAAGCTTTCCAAACACTAAAAAGTAGAGCCTGGAAATAATAAGTCTTGTTGTGCCTTGGATCACAGTTTTCACACAGCAGCTCTGCCAGTTTCTAATTATCTCCTCAGAGAGCTGGAGAGAGGAAAATCTGTAGTGGCAGCAGATTCCCTGAACAGATATTAATGGAGTTTTACCTGCTCTCTTTAACTTCTAACGGAGGTCTATAGGGCGAAAAGTAACTGTTGGAGAACAGTGAAATATGGCTTTTACATAATCCACAGTAACCCGCGTGGTACGCGCTGTTTCTCTGCAGGCGGGGATAGATTCTCCCACTGCTTCTGGTAAGTAAGAAGCTCTGAAAACACGAGTCCAGCGTGTGTTTTTGTTGTAGTTTCTTGGCATACAGCAGCTGAAGTAGGATTCAGACAATCATAAGTAGCTGAGCCCACGTAGCAGTGACTTTTTGTAGCAAAGTCTAATTTTCTGGCTTTTAATCAGTGGATCAGGCCTTTAGGGTTGGGTGACAAACACGCACATGCACACACACACACACACACACACACACACACACACACACACACACACACACACATCAACATATGCAAAAAGCCACACACATGCACCTAAAGACGCACAAACACAGGAACAACAGAGACACCTCGTTTATCTTGGCGACAGAGCAAACGCTCCTCTCTTAGACCAAACAAACACACCGAGGCGGCACACACACTGGCCCAATCAGCTTCTAATGACTCGCTTCATTAGCTAAATGGCTGTAATTTACTGCCCTGAACAGGGGTCAGCGGGCCAATGGCAAACAGACCTCAGGGGGACCCAGGGGCAGAAAGGGAGGGAGGACTGGGTGTTTGTTTGACGGCTGCAGGGGTGGTGGATATGATATAAGTGAAAATGTACAAACACAGCAGGAGGAAGTGTGTGCGCCTTTACAGTACTTTCATCCATCCAAGGTAAGGTTGGGGGTTTAGGATTAAATGCATTCAATATAAGGTCCGAAGAAGTTTGGCAATAAAAGCGTTCATATGGAGTAAACTGAAAAGAGGTTTGCAATAAAGTGTGAAAGAGAGAAGAAAAGAGGAGACACAGAAAGAAACAGTGTTTTTTGAAGCTGCAGAATGCTACATGACAAAGACCTAACGAGAGAGAGAAGAGAGAGGAGACAAAGAAAGACGGACACACACAGAGCGAGCCTGTCGAACACATCTAGTGGTCAAATACTGACCACTTGCATTCCGACTACAGGAGTGGCAGCAATACTTCCGGGGCCAATACCAGAGATTTACAGAACCCATCTCTGGCACAGAGACCCTGAATCCATCAGCTCCTACAAAACACACACAAGAATACACATACATACACAAGCATATGGTGAAAAAAAAAAAAAACACAACTCAGTCCTTCTCCAAGATCTCCAACAGGGCTTGAGCCCAATCCCCCAATTACACCGGCTTTTCATCCACCTCATTCCAACCGCAGACAAATCATAATTAGGTCTGAAAGAGTCTATTAGGATTGTCATTTTTAACGGGGCTTTGGGTGGGTGGGGGGGCATAATTACAAACCCCCCATTCTCTGGCTACCCTTCTTTTGTCCCCTTAACTGGAACTGAAACAATGAGGACAATTTAAATAGTCAATCAAGAGGGTTTAGCTGCCATGGGGACATATGGACGTGCTGACTTAGAACAAAATGCCGCATGTGCGCACAGGAAGCGGGAGGCCTGTTTTTAAGAGAAGGTCAGACAAATGTAGGTTTTCTGGCATGGAGAGGAAAAGTTATCTCCTACAGCTAAGCTCTGCCAAAACTCTTCATCAGTCTCTTAGAGGAGAAACAGAGAGAGAGAGACTAAGAGAGGGATTACGCCTCCAATTGACATTCCTAGATGTCAGCGAAACCATTAACCCCACAAACAGCGGCTCTGCTCTTGGAGGAGAATGCAGAATCCGTCGGTGTTGCATTACCAGCTTCTGCACAGCATCGTCTGTGACAAGGAAGTCACAGCTCCACACAAACAGTTTCTAGGATTTTAATCAAACGGCAGGCATACATTAGAGGGAGAGAAAAGTACCTTATCCCTAAGGGAAATTCAGTTGTCACAGCAGCAACACACTTGAGAGACACACGAGTAGCTGTTGGACTCGAAAATCTATTCCCAGGAGTGAGAATGTGTTTCTAGTTAAGCGAGATTCTCAGAGAATAAAAATACCATCAAACAAAATCAGATTTAACAATCCAGCGACAAAGATAAGAGGTCCCAAACATAATTCCCTTAATTCCACATTTGTCTCACACGTGTAATCACGTACTCGGATTCTGAGGTCTTTGGTTCACTAGGTCACAGCCTTGGGGTTATGTAAGCAGAGCAAAGACGCCGGCCTCGCTGAACCCAAGAGAGAGAGAGACAGAGAAAGGGAGAGAGAGAGAGAGAGAGAGAGAGAGAGGCACCACACTGGTGCTGGCGGGCATGGAAGAAGGCCCAGAGGGTAAAGAGGTGAAAACAGCAGTGGTGCACATGTACACTGGCACACTGACACATAGCCACAAAATCACAGGAAAAAAAAAAAAAAAAAAATCACACTCCTGGAAATGAGTCTTATGTAAGAGACTCGTTTCCAGAGTGTGTGCAGACAGTTGTTTATTTACTCCCTAATCTATTCTTATCTCATCTATGTCAATGTGTATACTGTGCGTGTGTAGGAGTGTGTGCATGTGTGTGTAAATATTTTTGAGATACTTGTTAAAATATTAAGTGAAGGTTAGAAAAGGTCAGAAAACAACCAATAAACTGTTTACCTCCATGACAACAATCATTCCTTAATAACTTGGGCTTTCAATGTAATTAGTAGGTCGTCTTAATTTGAAACGAAACCCCTGGAATGACGAACACGACGCGGAGCAGGCACATAATCTGAATCTATCCCACTGCTTCACTCCGCTCCTCTCAGTGCTGCCCCCGCCCTGGCAGCAGCGGCACTACACCCTGTAGGTTACCAGAGGCAGACAGGGCCAGAGGCAGACTGTCTGGCTACCACCCAAATGGCTTTCTCCATGGATATAAACAGCCCAACTACAGGCCTGGACCACACATAAACACCAATCTGAGAACACAGGCAAGGGATGAGCACTCTGGCTTGTGTGTGAGTGTGTGCGTGCGTGTGTGTGTGTGTGTTTGCAGGAGAGAGAGATGAGCAGTGAGATAAATACAGAATATAGGCCCTAGACAGTGTGGGTGGTGAGCATACATGCTGTGCATCCTTCTATACAGTAAGACAGGAATCTTGTTTTTCACTTCTCTGTCCAGTTACTCCCACGTTGCATCAGAATAATTTGGCACCCCTGCTCCCCCCTGGAGGAATTAAAAATAACTTTTCCGCAGATACAGCAACAATACTACCACCACCACCAGCAGCCAGCCAATCCATTATCATGGAGAAACAAATCCCAAAAGAATAAAATGCCATCATTTACAAGCTTGAATTGGGTTGCTGTAATTTCACAACACTGAGGGACACAAAGGCTCCATTAGAACAACATTTGTTTCTCTTTTTGTTGCTCACTTTATCGCTTCAAATCCTTCATGTTCTAACTACTTTTATGTCGCTGTCAGAATGAGTGATGGATAGAAGCCTTTGGGGTGGATGCGTAATGTTTATCAGATAAGATAAGCAAATACTGCAGTGGGTGTGTGGGGTGTGTGTTTACACACTGTGAACGTTTGACCCCAAGATGAATCCCAGAAATCTCCACTGACGGGGCTTCAGGCTGGAAATGGTGCTAAAGGCCCCCGTTATAAACTTCAAAAACATAAGTCTAAATCAAATTGAAAAAGAAAGAGAATTACAGGGATAATGGATTTGAGATTTCCATAACACAGCTAGCAAATCTGTCAGAGGCATTTTGGGAGCAGACATGAAGGAGCCTAATGTGTGTGGTGGTCAGATCACCAGAGACATGTATCAGAATCCTAAAGGGGATTTGTGGGGGGGGGGGGGGGGGGGCGTTCAGACGATATCAAAGACTTGAGTCGCTTTGAAAAGATTAAACAGGGTAACACAGATATCCTCATAGGCTGTGTCACGTCATACACCCTGGATGCTGAGTGCGGGGTGCAGGTACACACGGACACACTAACACGCACGCTCACGATGGCAGGGCACACAGGAGATAAGCAGGAACGGGCAACATCAGTGGTGAGCATGGATTTTCACTCATGCACACGCTTGGATACACACACACACACACACACACACACACACACACACACACAACCTCAAGGGCTCTGCTGACATTCTCCCATGTCCCTATCTTGGTAAGGGTCCCAGCATATGGGTCATATGAGAGGCCAAGGGGAAAAACAGAGCAGAAGAAGCCCGCACAGGAAAATGTCATCCTCACAGCATGGATAGGACACACACACACACACACACACACACATTATGCATATACACACAGAGCTAAACTGGGTCTATAAATACAGCAGTAAAGCAGGGAGCGGCAGAGTGGAAAAAGCCCAGTGGAAAACCATTCAATCGTTAGCTTAGCAGCCTAGCTCTAAAATTAGCATTAGCAGCGTAGTACAGCAGAGTTTGCACACACAAGGCCTAGAAATCAGCTTGCAAAGCACCAGTCCTCACCTTAATTATAAAGAGAGAAAGCAGCAAAACTGAGTCAGGACCAGCCACCTGCACCTCATTAGTCTACCACTCCACATATAAGGGGTGGGGTTAGTTTAGCACCCAGAGCTTAGAATAATCTCAACTTCAAAGAAGATGGTACATTATATCCTTAGCCTATGTAACATCTTGGCCTATATATGCAAATCAAAGCCCCTCTCACCGACGGCTTCAGTCACTTTTAGCAACCTCCAATTATATGTTCCTGAATGAGCCCTGTAAGGTTAAAATGACATTCCATAATGGGAGTATTCTCATCAGAGCAGCAACGTATAGCCATCACGTCCCAACAGACTTGAATCTAAATTCGCCTCTTCTGAATCTTTAGCCTACTTTGTGAAATGGGCAGAGGTTAATAATGATAACAGTAAATTAATCTGAAGCGGGGGGTTTTGTCTTCCAAATGAGTTAATTCTGGTTGCAAGGGTATGTTAAAGAAAAAAGGTGAGCGGGATATTCAGCAAAGGATAACACGGAGATAGCAGAGAGAAGTCAGAGCCAAGGTTGTTTGAGAAAATTGCCATATATGTTTTTTTTTTTATTTTATTTTTTTATTATTATTCAGGCCTTGAATATGACACTCCCTCTTCTTTCATGTTCTCATATTCCTTCACAATAAAAAGGACTATTTAAATTGACGAGTTAATTTGACCTAATGCGCACAGGCAGTTTATTTGGGAGTGTGATAGCATCTGCATGTAACCTAAATAGTTTTCCCTGTTAAGACACCAATAAACAATGCTGCTGTCTGTGGCACGCACGCACGCACGCACGCACGCACACACACACACACACACACACACACACACACACACGTGCAAACACATGCACACCAAACTGCTAATTGTCCTGCCATGGCTTTTACAGTTCATTTGACATCAAAGGTGCTACATAGTGTCGATGAACCTGTGTGGTGTTTGCAGTGTAGTGTGTGTGACTGTGCGAGTCCTCTATGCACAAACAGCTGCTGTGGTAGAAGGTGATAGGCAGGGTGTTAAAGAGACAGATAGTTGTTGAAAGGTATGAGGGGGAGATGTGTAAGCTGATGAAATGCAGGATAACCTTAGCCTTGGGCAACTGCACAGATATTTGTAGTATGTATATGCGGTTTTGTCTGTGTGTATGTGCAGGCAGTACGTGATTAAAACCTGACTTAACAGAACCTATTATCTGTACTCTTGAACTGCTCATGTGTGTATCTTTGTGTGTATGTGTTCGGTGTCTAAAATAAAGAGCAGGGCAAAGTGTTAAACCACACTTCAGGTTTCCCTTTAGATGTTTACATGAGATAATTCATTTCAGAGTAACCAAAACGTCAGCACTGAGCTGCACATACCGTATGACAGGTCTTGGGAATGCTTCATTCAGATATTTGGCAGTTACTGGGTGTGTTCATACGCTTGCTATTAGACAGTTAAATGTTGCAGACCTATCCGAAGACAGCTAAACAGTAGCAGAATGTTGTCCAGCCTCAGAGGTAATATGTAGCAGAGACCTGTATAAAAACCCTCTAATATTAGAACAAGACATGTCGGCTGCTTTCTTGTTCAACAACACCCCTCCAGCTCTACTGCTGCTCGTAGGTGTGCATGTAATTATGTCTCCATCTGCTCCACTCTGCAGTGTCTTACCTCTGAGGCAGAGGAAGGTGAGGAAGTCCTCCGTCTTGGGCTTGCGCCTGGACAGGTCCTGGATGGAAGAGGACAGCGATGAAGAGGAGAGCAGCGAGAGGGATGAGGAGGGCACAGTGGCCAGGCCGGTGTTGAGGCTGCCTGGGTCGGCCACTTTCACGGGCGTAGTGCTGGGAGAGTTGGGCTGCGACTGGGCGAACTTCCTCTGAGCCTGGAGCCGAGGCCTGAGAGGGAGGAAACACACGAGGAGGGAGAGTGTGAACAATGTGATATGCGGCGTTTAATCACAGCTGAGCGTACCAGCGTTCAACAGATAGGTGAGGGCAACCATGACAAGAAGACTGCCGTGACTGCTTCAGATAACAGATGGAGTTCATCAGATTTTATACTCTATGTTCACATGAAAACAACTATGGACTTATTTGTACAATAAATCACAAATAATTTCAAATAATAAAATACTATTATACATTTTGAAATGCACACACAGAGAAGCTGCTATTATATTAGCCCAGTGTAATTACAGTAGACTTTGTGTACCTGGTGTGTTGTATGAGGCATGTGCTGCTGATATCATTAATCCCTAGACTTCTTGTTGTCTGCAGCTGATTAAAATCACACTTTTACACACATACACACACACACTCAGTCTCTCTCATAGTTTTTTATTATTATTGCTGTGGCCCTATGACTATTGTCTCACTGTGGAGTGGATTGCTGAGACAATTACCCTGTAGTGAAGAATGGCTCGAGTGTGAGCCCATCATGATCACTTGGATGTGCAGGCACCCACACACTCACCGGCTGACATGGTCATTCAGCGAGTGTGTGTGGGTGTTTGAATGTAAATGCGTGTATTTACATGAGTAAATTACAGGTGCACAGAAACACACACATGTAGCAGTTGCTATTTTAGTCCTGTTGAGCTCTAGTGAAAGATAATTAAGCCATCTATAAGGCAGAACCAGAGCCGTCAGTGGCAGCTGATAATAACCAAACACACAGGAACCATCTGCCAAAACAACCACGCAGTGCCAGAGAACAACTTAAGATTCCACATCTCCCTATCTCTTCATTCTTTTCCTCTTTTGCTCCCGTCTCTTTCTCTCTTTCCACCATTTCCCCTTTCTCTCTTTCCCCCTCAATGTTGTGCTTGCTTTCCTCTGCAGTCCACAAAGCCTTTGAGATGTCTTTCATTTTTCTCTCTGCTTGCCTCTTTTCTCTCTTTATTTCACAGTGTGTGTCAGTGGAGGCGAGGGACGGAGGAGAATATTAAAGAAGCGGATGTCTGAGAGAAAGCGATGGACTTACTTGTCACACCGCCCCCCTACACAACACACACACACACACACCTGGGTGTGGACATTCACTCTCACACACCCCCGATATGTAGACACATGCACGCACATACACAAACCATTATAGTCTTCGACTTGTCAGATGCCACATGAACCAGCAAGTGGCCTCAATCGATTAGTGCTACTGTGTGTGTGTTTGCGCATCTGTGTGTGCGTGAGTTACGCTATAAATGTTGAGGAGTAGTAATAGAAGCAATGTGATATCCTGGTATTATTTCTCAATTTGCCGCGGACAGGATTGAAGTAAGGGAAGATAGGATCATGTCTGGACAACACCCACAATGCATTTGGCGCAGCCACTGAAAGGTGCAGAGCCCCGATTACGCTTCAATCAGAGAGAACAGTGCGGTGTCAAAACGTGTCAATTTCCTGCCGTGACATGGGTGTAAGCTCGATACGTGAGAAATTGAGAGATGATTGCACACACATTGTCAAAGCGTTGCATTTGAGCACAAGGTGTGAGAAAACTGAACACATCTCTGTTTGCACACGCCCAGTTTGTTTACAGTCAAACACTCTGTAAACAAAATCATACGACTGTGATCAGCTTGGCAGTTTATAAGCTGGAATTCAGCAGTACACAAAAGTGGTCTGCATTTACACAAATCTAAATCGGCTTTGATACCAAACTTCAAAAACTTGCACCATGCACATCACTGAAAACATTTTCTCTCCGCACACACAAATCACAGTTTTAGCCTCCAAACAATTGAGACAGTGAATAGTTTAATAATTCTACTGAGTATAAGGTATTATAAAGCTGCCTCATGCCAACATTCAGCTAAAAGATACACACAGGAGGTACTGTTTTCCCCTGGTATTACGAACAAATAATGTTCTATTCAACTAGAAAAACAACACAATGGGGGCAGGTGCCACTTCATGCGAGACGTGTGTGTTTGAAAACTAAAAGGAAAAAATAGAGCAAAAAGGCACATAAATTAATGAGTTGAAGAGCAACCAAAGAATGAAAAAGGGATCAAATAAGCGATACAGTGAGCTGTAGTGTGTACAGTTGCCAACCGGTTTAGATGAAGGATCAAATAGTAAAGGGTGGTAAGTTAAAGAGACAGGAAGGGACATAGAACGAGACTATAGACACGTCAAACGCAGGGGAGCAGGGGTGGGGGGTGGGGTGGGGGGGGGTGATCAAATGATCAAAAGCTGAGGAAATGTAGCGAATGAACCAGTGAAAATCAAAACCCATTCAATGCTAGTTACAGAAGAGAAGTGTGATAAACAGCTAGAGAGACAAGTGTAAAGGACAAGAGAAGTGTGAGAGGTAGAGCACTATTTTTTTTTTTTTTCCACACATCCACATCGTGTCTGCTAGGCTGGCCTTTAGTTGTTGTCTGACTGAAGAGACTGAACATGTACACGCAGATACGCACAAATACAAACACCGCTGCATACACACTCACGCAAAAGACACACAACACATATTTATACACTTTTAAAGCAAGTAAGGTTTGCGTGACTATAAGACTGGGAAAGATATTATGTGTGAGAGGAAGATAAGCAAAGGAGAGGGGAAGGAAACAGAGAGAGAAGGAAAGACACATAGTGTATACACAGATAATGCAATCACAGCTTGGTAACCACAAGGTAACCACAAACATGTGACAACATCCAGTTTGGCATTTGGACACTGCATGCTGTATGTGTATGTATATATATGTACATACTCATATATACACACGGGGAAATACTTAAGACGGCACTTATGAAAATAGTATTTTTACAGTAATGCAGTTCTTTAAATGTATGGCAATGCCTTTACGTAGACATCTGTATGCATGCATGGGTGTGCAGCTGTTGCTATGCTTATACAGCGTTTAAATGTGCAGCCACCCATCCCCGTCCCATCGTCCTATAAATTCAATCGTCTGTAATGTAGTATCACAGAGGAGGGAGGGATGCAGACTAAACTGAGCTATGAACACTTTTTAAACAGTGAGCAGAGGCGAGACTGGGCTCTTCATAGAAAATAAATAAATAAATAAATAAGAAAAACTCTGTGGTAATACAAACCCTGGATAGTTTTATTGCTTCAGCCTTAGATGAATAGAATCCTATTGAACTGCTTAAAGAAAGCGAAACAGAGGGGATAACTGACACACACACACACACACACACACACACACACACACACACACAAAGAAAAACAGAGTATGACAACAGAAATAAAGCACAAGCAACTGTGCAAAAGAATGAGGACAGAGACAGATGAGCTAATAAAGCAATGTGCTTACTACATCCTGTCTAGACAGTCAAGAGCCTTAGGTTTTCCAGGGAGAATCCTCCGTTATCTGTTACCTATTAACTAACATGGGAGATATGCTGGGGGGCCTTTCCCAAACTCAAACAAACACTGAAAATACATTTCTAGTTACAGGTAATTCTCTAGTAATTTGACTAAATTCTGTTTACATTATGCATCTTCAGTTGTCATCTGCTTGCCCCCCTTTTAATGGTATGCTAACAGCAGAGACGGGGCTAATAAAAAATGTAATAAAAACAGATCTGCTTCAGTGATGATGTAAGAGTTTGGCAGGGGAATGCAGAAGCAGGGGAACAGATGAATAAAACGTTAGGAAAACCGACAACTTCAGTGACAAGTAATTATTCTAAAGATGACACTTCTCTTCTTTGGAAACAGTACTCAGGTGGCAAAACAGAATTTGTGTTGTTATCCTTATTAACGGTGCGGGGAAATTAGAGCATGAAAACAATTATGGTTAACACTTATTTAACAGATTCAAACAATACGTCCCAAAAGTTTTGCCAATAGGGGCCTATTAATGGTGTGCCACATGACTTTAGATGAGGAGAAAATCTAGCATGCACAGGCTCTGCACACGCACGCACGCACGCACGCACACACGCACACACACACACACACACTTCAGAGTCCCAAGGACCAGGTAAATATTGAGAAATCAGCATGGGAACAATTTGCAATGACATGACTGTTTTTGTAAGTGCTGCCACTGCACTACAGGCTAAGGGTAACATGAGCCTCAGATTTAGCCCTCTGTCTGACCTGTGTGTGTGTGTGTGTGTGTGTGTGTGTGTGTGTGTGTGTGTGTGTGTGCGCCAGAGGACACTATGTTCCCAAGCATGTTGAGCTATAGAATACTCATTGGTCCGGTGCCACGGTAGGAAAGTGAGGCTTATGTAAGTTAAAATTAGAGTGATTGCCCTGATTGAAGGAGAATGAGAGGAGAGCCAGACAGACACAGGGAGGGAAGAGAGGAAACTGAGATCCAACAGCGGTAGAAAAAGCAAAGAGATTACAACAGGATGTCCCCATTCATCCCTTTCTAATCCACCTTTCATCCATCCCTTCCTCCCTCCATCCCTTCCTGCTACCCCCCCAGCCATGTACCCTTCAAAGGGCTGCTCTAATGTCTAATATTACACATGCCACCGTAGCTGCCAGAGCATTGATTATCTCTGAGAGAGACAGAGTGAGAAAATGTGACAATCCTGTCAGCCAGCAATCCTGGGAAAGGAAGGCAAGGAGAAGAAAGGAGGAGGATAAAGGGCCATTTGTGATTTACTTCCAACATATAAAAATGAAGTAAGATGAAAAATGGGGTGGAGCTGGTGATGAAGAGGCAGAGGGGCCGGGACGAAAGAAAGATGAGCTACAGCCAATGAAAATGTATTGTGCTCACAGCACAGCTGTGGACAGATGCACGCACAGATGCACACACATGCACATGGATCCTGTCAATCAAAGACAGTGCGACTTCTAGCCCTGTCCTCAAGTCTCCATCTTATCAACACCTTTCCAGTGACGACCGTTTCCATGGGAACTGCTGCGATGGCAGGACTCCTCCATGTGGTCATCTTGATTTATC